TGAAAGAAGTATTTTCTGCTCACCAAGGCTGCAATTGTTTTATTAAAAATACAGAAAAAAATGCAATATTGTGAAATATTATTAAAATGTAAAATCGCTGTTTTCTATGTGAATATCTGTTAAACTGTAATGTATTTCTGTGATGCGCAGCTGTATTTTCAGCATCATTACTCCAGTCTTCAGTGTCACATGATCTTCAGAAATCAGTATAATATGCTGATTTGCTGCTCAAGAAACATTTCTGATTATTATCAATGCTGAAAACAGTTGTACAATATTGTTATGAGTAAATAATATTATTTACAATTGAGCACTAATAATATCTGAGCAGCAAAGAATGGTTCATGTGACACAATAAATGACATTTTACAATATATTCACATAGAAAACAGCTATTTTGAATTTAATTGTTTAAACAATTTGACTGCTTTTTACTGCATTTTTGATCAAATAAATGCAGCCTTGGTGAGACTTCTCAAAACTTGAAAAAAAATCGTAATTATTCTAAACTTTTGACTGGTAGTGTAGCAGATATACAAACCGTGTGACCATCACAATGTGCTGTGCTTGCTTATTTACAACGAAGAGCACACTTTTATCACGTGTGGCTTTATTGTGACGTGTTTGGGGCGCTTGACACATTTAAAAACATGTGATGCACTTTAAAAGCATCACAACAGTCAAGGATGTCCATCTAGTGCTTTTTCACGTAGAAAGACACTTAAAAAGCAGTGCCTTTGAATGCAAAACCATGAGCTGAGCATCTGTCCTACCAGAGCGGAGTAAAGAACAGAGCAGCAGTATTTAGGCACTTTGCATAGATCGCATGTCTAATGCATTCCAGCAGTGATTGAGATGATTGTTGTTTATCAGCAAACTAGTGTTTGGGGATTTTAATGGCTGATGCTGAAATCTAGAGGATGACATAATGCTGAAACATTATTAATGACAGCACATGAGATCAATAAAGTACAGTAGCTTTCAAGGGTTTGTGTTAAAGTCTCCTCTGACGTTGCATTAGTGCATTAGCTGCTTTTCTGTCGTCAGAGAATGAGTGTGGAGGAAAATCTCTAGCATGCAGGCCTGATTCTGCGTCAGCTGTACAAACGTTCTGCTTTCGGAGTGTCTTGTGTTATTAAAAGCCATTTGAGCGATCTCGTCTGAATCTGACCCTTGTTGAAGTCAGACGAGTGTCGCTCTATTAGTGCCCTGCAATTACCAGAGTCCTTCAGAGCGCAAAAAAAAAGCACTTTATACAATACCGACGGATTCAAAGCAGCTTCACTGTAATAAATGGGAAAAAAATGTTGCGAAATGTATCAATATTTTCAATATCAGTAGTACAGCAGCTCTACAGAAGACAACAGAGTCATCTGTTCAGTTCAATAACAATCCCAGTGTTGCAAAGTACCTTAATTGCATTTAGTTAAAGCAGCTCTACAGAAAACAACAGTGTCATTATGGCAGTACAATACAATACAATAATACACAATGCCATGCAAACTTCATAATATTGTGCAGTTTTGTCATGTATTTCTCTAGTGCTTTATACAAAACGGATTGTTTCAAGGCAGCTTTACATTAATAAACAGTAAAATCGCAAATGTTCATCAAATATGAGACAAATCCAAATTCTGCTGTAAATACAGTAGTGTCGTTATTCAGCTCCAGTCAATTCAGTGTAATATTGTTTTGTGATTTTGTGTTTCTGTCAAACAGTAGAGGCTCTGGAGAGGAGATTTCTCTATATATGCTTTTAATGACCCTACAAAGTTGAAATGTGAGAAGAAGAAAACACTGACTTG